ACATCTGCTGTTTTACTACATCTGCTGTTTTACTACATCTGCTGTTTTACTACATCTGCTGTTTTACTACATCTGCTGTTTTCTACATCTGCTGTTTTACTACATCTGCTGTTTTCTACATCTGCTGTTTTACTACATCTGCTGTTTTACTACATCTGCTGTTTAAAAGAAGCACAGAAATAAATTAAACCAGCGCACAGCTGAGTCGTCACCTTGCATCTTTCAAAGAACCAGGCCATTTTTCACGTTTGGGCAGGAGCTGATGTGCAGAATTTATTAAGAACGTGACAATCACCAGAAGACGAGGACAGCTTGTTTTTTAAATGTTTTAGTATCACACAGAACAAACTACAGTCAGGTATTTGACTGTAGTTCTGAGCAGCTGAATGAGAGACTTCATGATTCTAAAATATAAATCACACCGCAGCAGAAACGCTGCGACTCGTTTCTTCACATTTAATAAATATTTCTCTAAGTTCTACCAAACTCATCAGTTCCTCTGTGTTTACAGTCATTTATTAAAGACGTTTAAAGGTGCAAACGTCTCTCAGCACCGCTGAAAAGAACAGCACAAGCGTGTACACACCAAGGATCGATGCAGTTCAGTTCAAGGAATAAGACTGTGGAATATTCTGGAAAGTGATTGTAAAAATGTTGGTTCAATGTGTTTGTTTAAAAGAATGATTAAAATAAATATGTTAAAGAAATATGAAACTGTATAATGTATATCAAAAGTTGTTGTTTGAAAAGGAATTGAAGTTTTTATTTTGTTTTTTTTATTATTTTTTTTTGGAATTAATTTTGGAAAAAAGGGGCAGATATAGGATTTTTTTCTTCTTTTTGCCTCCTTTCATTTCAAGTGTGATTTTTTTTCTTTGTGTATAAAATTTATATTTTTATATGAAAAGAATAAATGAATGAAATGAATAAATAAATACATTTGTTCTGAGTCTGAAGCCATGCAGACTGGCAGAACCTGACTGTCTCCAGAAGAGAGACAACGCTGCTTCGCCACAAAATAATGCTTTTATTGTGGTAAGAAGGACCACTGCATTGCCAACCGTCCCATCCGTTCAAAGGCCGTGTGGCAGACTTAGCAGCAGTGGCACTCTGCGAGAGGCCTTACTCATGCAGCTCAACAATCTCACCGCACTTATGGAGAGAAACATATTTAGCCTTTGCTGTCAGGAGGTCATGACACTGTGGATACATGACAGAAAATTACACTGAATCCAAATTTCACAGACATTTTGGCCTTTTAAATGCTGTTGTGTCAGGGGCAGATCTACAGGGGGCAGAGCCTTGCCCCCACAGCAACCACCATACTTTTATGTCTTTGAAATATTTGTAATTACTAACTGTTTTTCATCCAAAAGCCCATTGCAACCTTCAAAATAAATATTTATTTACCAAAAATATATAATTTTAAATATAATCTGAGGCCCCTGAAAAGCTTGTTTACGGCCCTGCATCAAACACCACCTGCTGCTCTGCAGGTGCAACATGAGTCACAGTGATGAGGCAGTCTGTCTGCTGCAGACTGGACTCACTGAGCTTCAACTGTCTGCACTTTAAGTTTCTCCAGCTGATGTTCTAACACACAACAGTAAAGTTAAGTTTGCAAAGAAAGAAATATCTGCTCAAGTGTCCGACGTTCACGGTGTAATGACGACAGTTACTTAGTATTAACTTTTTTCCACAGTTAGTTTTGTTTACAATAAGCACAGTAACAGTTAATAAAAGGTTTAGATACAAAAATAAGGTTTCAGGTTTGATTTTTAGGGGCTGCAGTTTCACTGATGCCTTTATTTGATCTATATCATGGCAATGAGGCACAATTAAACCACGTTACATTTGTTTTGTCACATCAAGAAAGTAAATAAGCTGCTCTGATGATGATATAATACTAATTTTTTTAAATTCTTGATGCTTGCACATTTCAGACCAAAATGAAAAAGAAATTTAAAAGTAGAGATATTGACAGTTTTTTTTTTCAAAAAAAGCAAGGGATGAGAAGGAAAAAGAGTTGAGAAAGGAAGATAGAGAGACCAGGAGGGTCACAGATGATAGTTTGCATTTTAGCTTTAAAACAATAAAAGAAAAAAAAAGAAAAGAACTACCTTACCTGGATCTGAGCTATTTCCTCCCACAAATTTGTTGCTTGCTGAAAGTCTTTATATTTCTTCATTGATGCATCAAAAAGTTTTCTAATCTCCTCCATGAGACGCTTTTCAAGATTTGACTCCATTTCGTCCACAAACGACACAGATTCTCAACTTTATCAGCTACCCAGAACAGTACATGCCACTGCGCGCATCGCGGGTGCAAACCTAAAAAGTGATCTCTGCACGGACCAGTCCGGGGATGTCTGCTTCGAGTCCGTGTGGACCTCTGCGGACCGAAGTACGCCCGAGTATGTGGGGGCTTTTAGTGGTGAAGAAGAGAAGATTTCAGGTGAGGCTGTGCAGGTAGAGAAGCTGCAGCTAACAGAAACTTGAAGCCAGAGTCTCTTAAACATACCCAGAAGGAATCAGGTTTACAGGTGGAGGTCGACGTGAGCAAATACAACTGACAAACAGAGACTGAGGCGGAATATACAAAAGGTAAGTGATTTTATTATACAGGTGCTGGGGATTGGGGACGGGACCTGAAACAGAGGTTTTTGCAGAGGTGAGCAGGTTATCCAGTACTGGTTCTTAGCAGGTAAGTAATTCAGAGGGGTTCTTACAGGCTGGAGAAGGAGACGAGGCTTGGAGGAGTTGTTCCAAAAGGTTGAGATCCAAAGGTGAGTATTTACAGGTGAGGAATTATTTACAGTGATTCGTGCGAGGCAGCGCATGAAATCCTGGTGAGTGGCTCTGGTTCCAAGGCAACAGGCAAACGTGCTGGAGGTCGCTTTCTGTAAACAGGTAAGTAACAAAAATGCAAAGGTTAGACTAACTCTGGGAGAGACAACAGGTAGCAGGCTGAGCTCATCCTCAGCACAGGCTTAAGAAGCCTTGGGGTTGATGAGCCGATCTTCATGCAGGTGTGGGTAATCAGTGCCAAGCCCATCAGGGAGGCAGGGGGTGAAACACCACAATGCCTCAGAAGGTCCAGGAGTTCTTATTGTTTTTAATTCAGAGAGGGAGAGGGAGGATGGTAAATTTCAGGAACACGGAAGTGAAGTTGTTTGAAGAAGGCGGTAGGAGTGAATTTTATTTGGATTGCATAAACTGTACTCTGAGTGTAATTCATGGCTTCCACATCAGGAGGGAACAGTGGGAATGAAATGGAGTGGATGATGTCAAGATCATCTAGAATGAAGCGAGCAGTTAGGAAAAGACAAGAGAGAGAAAGAAGTTGGTCAGATGAGAGTGAGMAAAGAATAGACACCAGTAAAAAGACAAAAACAAATACAAGTCAGAGATCTAGGGAACTAGAAGAGCAAAATAGGGAAGAAGATTGGAAAGTGTTTGTAGAGTTTCAACAAGAAGGGGCACATAATAATCCAATTAAACTAACTAAAGCAATAGAAAAAGAAATAGGCAGTATCAAAATGGCTAGGCTTATTAACAACAAAAAGCTATTAATTCATGCAACCAACAAAAAGCTATTAATTCATGCAACCAACAAAAAGCAGCAGGAAAAAATAATCAAAATGACAACTTTAGTTGGCGCATGGTGGCTCAGTTGGTAGAGCTGATGCCTCTCAGCAAGAAGGTCACCGGTTCAAATCCTGGTCCGGGGACCTTTCTGGGT